AGGCTTCACAATAATCTTATTTTGTTTGGATTACAGTTCCGTATGGTCTTGTCCTTTGGAAAACATTTGTTAGAGCAAGAATAAAATATATGGTCCTGAAATGTGTTGCTTTAGCTTGCCAGTGTGACCTTCCTCTGTGGTGGCCAGACATATGGCTTTTATTCATCCCGTTGATTTTAATATTGCGCTACATAGCAGGCTGATTAGCTGGGTTTAACAATGGAAAACAGAATCTGATCCTTAATTTCCTAAAGGCAAAATTCCTTGTGGCGCTGGTGGTAGTAAGGACTGCCTCTTAAAATGTACTGTGAATACATGTAACATGGTTTTCATTATGAGATTTTTGTTACTGCAGTTATCTGGTGTTGTTAACTTCACTTACAGTGCTAGGGTACACAAACTGCTTATGCCAGAAGGTAGATAGATATCTGTGCTTCTGTTTTTTTTCCCCCTTGCATAAATTGAGGCAACAGTGGGATAAACCCTAGTCTTATTTTGAATCTATATTTTATTTATCAATTTTATTTTGAATCTGTGTTTATGACACCAGTGGGACTTTTGCTTGAGTAAAGAATGCAAGATTTGGCCCTATACATTCTAGTTGAGAGGAAAGAAGATGAGGAGCCCTGGTTAACATTATTTTCTAATTACTGCAAATAGATGATTTATTCTATTCAGGTTCTTATACTACATGTATTACTCTGGTACCTGAGCACTAATTGGTTGTTTCACTTTGCACCTCTCCAAGTTGGGGCCAGAGTGATTTCAGAGTCACAGTACTTGAGCCAATTCTGGGAATTTATAGACTAGAAACAAATCTCAGGTTGTCCTGTTTATTTTTTTTTTATATCCATGTAATATAAAAGAAAACTGATAAAGATACACGGCCTAATTCTCCTCTCAGGGGTTGCACAGGTGCAACTGGAGAATTTGGTCCATTTTCTTTAGCCATAAAAATAAGACAAAAACAAGGAGAGAAGAAGTGGAACCACTAAGCATTGAGGTTGAGGTGGAGATTAAAGATAATCTAGGTATGGACTAACACCTAAATGAATACTTTGCCTCAGTTTTTAATGAGGAGGTTGGGGGCAGTAGCAGGGTGGCTAATGGGAACAAGGATATGGAAGTAGAAACTACCACATCCAAGGTGGAAGCCAGACTCAAACATTTTAATGGGATGAAATCAGGGGTCCTGGCTAATCTTTATCCAAGAATATTAAAGGAACTGGCACATGAAATTGCAAGTCCAATAGTGAGTGATTTTCATGAATCTGTGGACTCAGGGGTTGTAACCTAGGAAAGGAGAATTGCGCATATCGAGTACCTATATTTAAGAAAGAAATAAAAGAGATCTGGGAAACTGCAGACCCATTAGTTTGACCACAAGTGAATCAAAGGTCTTAAAACAAATTTTGAAACAGAGAGTAGTTAAGGATATCGAGATAAATGGTAATTGGGATAAAATACAACATGGTTTTACAAAAGGTTGATCATGCCAGACCAACCTGATCTTTCTTTGAGAAGATAACCAATTTTTTAAACAAAGGTAATGCATTAGATCTAACATACCTGGATTTCAGTAAAGCATTTGATACAGTTCCACATGGGAAATTATTAGTTAAATTGGAGAAGAGGGGGATGAATAAGAGAATTGAAAGGTGGGTATGGAACTGGTTAAAGGGGAGACTACAGAGGGTCATACTGAAAGGTGAACTGGCAAGCTGGAGGGAGGTTACTAATGCAGCTCCTCAAAGACCAGTCTTCTTTAATGACCTTGGCACAAAAAGTGGGAGTGTGCTAATAAAATCTGCAGATGACACAAAGTTGGAAGATATTCCCAATATGGAAGAGGACCAGAATACCATACAAGAAGATTTGGACAACCTTGAAAACTGGAGTAATGGAAATGGGATGAAATTTAATAGTGCTAAGTGTAGTGTCATAGATTTAAGGACTAACAACAAGAATTTTGCTATAAATTATGGATGTATCAGCTGGAAGCAACAGAGGAGGGGACAGATCTGGGCGTATAGGTCGATCACACGATAACTATGAACCGCCAACATGATGAGGCCATGAAAAAAGCTAATGCAAATCTAGGATGCATGAGGCAAGGAATTTCCAGTAGAGGTAGGGAAGTGTTATTACCATTATACAAGGCCCTAGTAAGATCTCATCTGGAACACTGTGTGCAATTCTGGTCTCCCTTGTTTAAGAAAGATTAATTCAAATTGGAACAGGTGCAGAGAAGGGCTACTAGGATGATCAGATAAATGGCAAACCTACCTTACAAGACTTACAGAGCTTGGCTTGCTTAGCCTAACAAATACAAAGGCTGAGGGGAGATATGATTGCTCTTTATAAATACATCAGAAGGATAAACACCTGGAAGGAAGAGGAGTTATTTAAGTTAAGGGCCAATTTTGGCACAAGAACAAATGAATATAAACTGGCCATCAATAAGTTTAAGCTTGAAATTAGATGAAGGTTTCTAACCATCCGAGGTGTGAAGTTCTGGAACAGCCTTCCAAGGGGAGTAGTAGTGGCAAAAAGACCTAACTTGTTTAAAGACTGAGCTTGATAAGTTATGGAGGAGGATGGTATGATGAGATTGCCTAGAATGGCATCTGGCCTATCCACGACTGCTATTAGCAAGTATCAGAGGGGTAGCTGTGTTAGTCTGAATCTGTGTTAGTCTGAATCTATTAGCAAATATCTCTAACAACTGGCGATGGGACATTAGATGGGGAGGACTCTGAGTAACTACGGAGAATTCTTTTCCAGGTGTCTGGCTGGTGGGTCTTCCTGAACTGCTCCGGGTCTAACTGATTGCCATGTTTGGGATCGGGATGGAATTTTTCCCCAGGTCAGAGACTCTGGGTTGTTGTTGTTGTTTTGCCTTCCTCTGCAGGGTGGGGCACAGGGTCATTTAGTGGTTTGAACAAGAATAAATAAATAGTGGAGTCTCTGTAACTTTAAATCAGGTCTTGAAAGCATGATTTGAGGACTTCAGTAACTCAGTTTGGAGGTTATGGGTCCCCTACTACCGGAGTGGGTGGATGGGGTTCTGTGGCCTGCAGTGTGCAGGAGGCAGGGCCGGCTCCAGGCACCAGCCCACCAAACTTGTGCTTGGGGCGGCACCTGGAGGGGGGCGGCGCGGCGCTCCGGCTCCCGCTGCCGGGGAGAGCGGGGCCACGGCCGGGCTCGCCACCCTCCCCCCGGCCCTCTGGCCGCCGGGGGCCCCCCCCCCTGCCCCCGCCCCCCCCCGGCCGCCGGGGAGAGCGGAGCCCTGGCTGGGGCTCGCCGCCCTCTCCCCCTCCCCTCCCGCGCTGGGGCGAGGGGGGCGGCCGGAGGCTTTTTTGCCTGGGGCGGCAAAAAAGCCAGAGCCAGCCCTGGCAGGAGGTCAGACTAGATGATCATGATAGTCCCCTTCTGGCCTTTGAGTTTGAGACTTTGGCCTACTAGGGCCCCATAAGACTGGTGGGTGACTGCTGGTATGGTTAGTGTGTGTTTAAATCTGTTTAATTTGTTTTTAATATGTTTTGGGAATGCTTTGACCTTAAGAATAAATATGCCTGTCTAGAAATTGCTGTGTGGTAACTTGTAACTGCTGGCAGTACACTGTTCATAGCCCTCGAAGAGAAAGCAGCACACAGGCAGGCACGGGCCATTAGGCAGATTGGCTTGCTGGGGATATCACAGTATGTGGCAGGGAGCTGTGCAGCTTTAAAACCCCCTGGGCAGAACTTCAGAAGGGTCAAGTGATGGCTGGAGAGCTGAGACCCAACTGGGCATTTCTGGAGTCGACCACAGAGGAGGGGATAGAGGTGCAGTTACCCTGAAACTGTGACAGTAGCTAAGGCAGCATTTAGCCTCAACGCCTGCTATTGCTGATGATACAGAAGGAGGAGAGAACTCAGCTTGCATCTTAGGTTGAATTTGAAGGGCTGGCAACAAGAAAAAACTTTTTTGTTTAACTTAAAACTGAGCACAGTTGATATAGAAATTATTCACAGATAAGGAATACGGAACCCCTGGTCCCATTTGTGGAGGGTTTCTTTGCAGAGCAGAGCCAAAAACTTTAAACAACCCCTGAAATGTTTCCTTTAAGGTTTGGTAGCTTATGGTATGCAATATTTATTTTTCTATTTACTGTCCTTTAGTCTAAAATCATATTTTAAGACAAAAGCTTTCTTCTCTGTTGTAGCTAATGGCAATGTATTTATTAAAATGTTTCACTGAATTCAGTTTTCTTTGGGGAAAATAGAGTGGTTTTTCCAAAGTCTTCTGCATTTGAATTCTCCAGAAAATATGGCCCCAGGTTTGTACATAAACCAAGCTGTATGTGTTCCCTGACAAATGCTTAGCAAATGTCAATGTTAGAATGGAACATTCTATGAAACAGCAAGTGAAAGGAGCATGGTGTAATCTGGATTTACACCATGACAGACAATAACAGAAGTGAGTCAGTTGTTTGTTATTCATGGTCATGAAATAAATCAGGATTAATTTTAATTCAGCTGTCACTAAAATATTCCCTTCTTAAAAGCTGTTATGATCTAAACCAGCGGTTCTCAAACTGTGGGTCGGGACCCCAAAGTGGGTCGGGACCACATTTTAATGGGGTCGCCACGACTGGCTTAGACTTGCTGGGCACGGGGACCAAAGCCCGAAGGCTTCAGCCCTGGACAGTGGGACTCAGGTTACAGGCCTCCTGCCTGGGGCTGAGGCCCTTGGGCTTCAGCTTTGCCCCCTCCCCATCCACTAGGAGCTCGGGCTGGCTCAGGATTTTGTCCCCCTCCTGGGGTCGCGTAGTAATTTTTATTGCCCAAAGGGGGTCACAGTGCAATGAAGTTTGAGAACCCCTGATCTAAACCTTCCTTTTATAAGTTATTAACTTGAGTGCATAAATATTCTCATGAATTAGCAAAGCAACTGTTAATCAAAAGGATGATCACTTCTCACTGAGATTTCCCATTTGCTGTAGGCAGCCAGCTTACCGAGAAGGCACGTCTGACATTAGGGACTTCACTGAAGGCAATCACCACAGGAGTGATATCCAAGGCACCGAACTCCAGCACTGCCGTGTTGATGGAGGTAGCATCTTGTGATGGGCCACTGGTGAAAAATATGGCAACTTTTCTTACGAGAACACCCTGACGAACCCGCTTGAACACATTCCTTGCAATGAATCTCATGGCCGCTCCAATATTGCGTCTGCCTGAGGACCTCTCCAGCGGTATTCTCTGGACTGCTTCCAGCAGCAAGTTGTGCCTCTGGAATTCCGAGAATCGGATGAGGTACCTTGTGTTGGTATTGTATGAAACTATGGAGATGCGGGCACCAGTCGGACAGTTGCTTTCGCTGAGCTTGATGACCCGCAGCAAAGATATCACAATATCCCTCATTCTTTCAAATGCTGCTAGGGTAACATCTTCAGACATATCGAGGGCAAACACCAATTCAGTGGGATATACTGGACATTTGGCTGTACCTTGAAATAAACGTACTGTGTGAAAGGGTATCCATAAACCAATGTTGTCATAGTTTCTACAGTCTAAGGAAGAAACTTTGTATAAAGCTATTTACCTGATAAGCAAGCTAGAAGGGAGAGATGGGAGAGAAAAAAAAGAGAATTATTTTATTTTACAATTACCTTGATTCGATTGTATCCATTCATACAGTGGCTAGAAATTACTATAAGGTGGGTGCACAACTGGTTGAAGGACCAAACTCAAAGAATAGTTATCAATGATTTGCTGTCACATTGGGAGAACATATCTAGGCATCCTGCAAGGGTCAGTCCAGAGCTATTTAATGTTTTCATTAATGACTTGGATAATGGAGTAGAGCGTATGCTTATAAAATTTGTATATGACACCAGGCTGGGAGGGGTTGCAAACACTTTGGAGAACAGATTTAAAATTCAAAATGACCTTGACAAATTGGAGAATTGATATGAAATCAACAAGATGAAATTCAATAAAGACAAGGGCAAAGTACTACAGTTAGGGGAAAAAATCAAATGCACAACTATAAAATGGGGAATAACTATCTAGGTGGTAGTACTGCTGAAGAGGAACCTGGGGGTTATAGTGGACTACAGACTGAATGTGTCGTCAATGTGATACAGCTGCAAAAAAAGACTCACATGATTCTGGAGTGTATTAACAGAAGTGTTGTATGTAAGACACAGGAGGTAATTGTCCTGCTCTATTTGGCACTGCTGAGGCCCCACTTGGAGTACTGTGTCCAATTCTGGGTGCCACAATTTATCTTAGAAAGATGTGGACAAATTGGAAAGAGTCCAGAGAAGAGCAACAAAAATGATAAAAAGCTTAGAAAACCTGCCCTATGAGGAAAAGTTAAAAAAACTGGGCATGTTTAGTCTTGAGAAAAGAAGACTGAGGGGGGACCTGAGAACAGTCTTCCAATATGTTAAGGGCTGTTATAAAGAGGACAGTGATCAACTGTTATCCATGACCACTGAAGGTAGGACAAGTAATGGGCTCAATCTGCAGCAAGGGAGATTTAGGTTAGATATTAGGAAAAAATTTAAACCTATAAGGGTAGTTAAGCTCTGGAATAGGCTTCCAAGTGAGGTCATAGAGTCCCCATCATTGGAAGCTTTTAAAAACAAACTGGACAAGCTGGTCAGGGATGCTCTAGGTTTACTTGGTCCTGCTGCAGCACAGCAGGCTGGACTTGATGACTTCTTGAGGTCCCTTCCAGCCCTATATTTCTATGATTCTATGTGCTACTCTTGCTTTGAATAAAGCACCTGATTCAAAACTACTTGAACCTTTGGATGAGCCCCAGAATCTATATTATTTGCTTCTGTCATCAAGGGGGAAATTCTCCTATCCACTGGTGCAGAGGACCCTACAGCAGTCAAACGGGTGCAGTTCTGCTGAGTAGAATTTAAGGAGGCCATGCTTAGGGTATTTACCTCCTACGTGGCCCAGAGCCCAGAGGTGTGGAGGTTGTGTGTGTTCTATTGCACAGGAGGGTGGGGGCTCCATGGCTGAGGGGCAGGGGATAGGAAGGTACTTTCCCCTCTCCAGCACAGAGTTCCTCAGTACCCAGTTGAGTTACTTGGGCAAGGTGCTTTGGAGAGCAGGTTAGCCCAAATGAGAGAGACACAAAGAGGAAGGAAATATTAATGAGAGCCAGTTAAGGGACAGCTTGTGCTTTCAAGCCACTACAGCTTGCAAAGTCAAAAGTTCAGCCCCTGTAGAGGGGTGATCACCTGCCACTACCACTAACATAAGCGTAGCGGTGGCCGCTAGTGAGAATGGGGGTTTGGTTTTTATACAAAGGAAATGAATGTTGGGCTTGCAGGTAAAATTGAACATAAGAACAGCCATACTGGGTCAGACCAAAGGTCTATCTAGCCCAGTATCCTGTCTTCCAACAGTGGCCAAGGCCAGGTGCCCCAGAGGGAATGAACAGAGAACTATCCCATGTTGCCAATTCCCAGTTTCAAAAGTGGGTGGGACACGACATGTATATATATATTTTTTTCCAAAGGCATAGTTGAAATGATACATTTCTATAGCTTTACTTTTTCCCTGATGAGTTTGACAGTGTTATCAAATGTAAAACGGATGGGCTGAAATCTATATTGACGCTGTGTGTATCTCATTTATATTTTTAAAATGAGTATAGTACATGCACGTGCAAGGTAGCCCTGGAGACTAACGCATTGTATTTATCCATGGAATGGGTACAGCACAGGCAGTGGCAGTGCAAGATTCCCTGAACTGTCCATCAAGGTGACCCAGCCTGTACCTGGGAGGGTCAGCTCTCTGGGGGAGATGGTAGCTCAGTTTCCACAGCGTATTCAGTCCATGGCCTCTATACTGAGTTTACCAACAAGGTTGCTCATTAACGAGGACTGTGACCGTGGTTAATGATTCAGACACAGAAAAAATAAACAGGGAGTACAAATTTGTTTCTCATACATTGCTGAATAGCCACCAGAGGTAACAACTTTCAGTCACTACCAGCTTGTGCCAGACTCATACCAGCCACCTAGAGACATCAAAGCCTCAGATCCATCCCGAGCCATTGAGTTGCCCAGTATGTTTCCATTTAAAAAATATGGCTACGCAAATTCCAATGGTGAAAAGAAATAAACCCAGTACTTACGGCAGTTTTCCCGTGTGAAATTAACAAGTCTACAAGGCTGCGGAGGGAAAAATGAAAAGATGGTTAAGGGCCAAGAGCCAGAGCCAGCTCCCACTGGAAAATCCATGGGACTCTTTCCATTGACTCCCGTGGGAACTGGATCAGGTCCCAAGTCCTGAGCTAACTTAATCCTGCATAAATCCTAAGTAACAATCTTACAGTCCGTGCAATTACTCATGATGTACACTGGTGTACTTGAGAGCAGGATCTTACCCTAACACTATAGTAGAAGTTGCCTATGTTTCATTGGACACTTAACCTTTCTCAAATGTCTGAAATAGATACATTCTGAACTGTTCATTTTGTATAATGTATCTGTGCATTAAGATCTATAAGATCATGGGACAGTCATTGGCCTGGCCAGTGCTGCTGGAGGAATGGAGAGGGGAAACCTGATAGTCTCGGCAGGATTCTACAAGATGAGGAGAGCACTATTCTGCGAAGGGCATATTTCTGCACCTTGGAAAAGGGGCAGCAGGTGCCTCCTAGTTAGCTCATGCTATTGACTGCTGAGTGACCTTGCCTGAGTTGGACATGTGAATGTGTCACAGACTTGTGACAGACCTGCAATAATTCCATAAGCTTTGTCCAGGTTAAGATAAACATTATTGGTTTAAGTTTAATAATTTGAGGGTCCATTGTATTAAAAAGGTAATTGTGTATGTGTTGTTGTGAAATTGCATGTAACTGCTCCAGGAGACTGACTAGTGCAATCTCTGGAAAGTTTTAGGAACGTCAAAGGGCTTTGGGGGAATAATATGTGTGAGGTCGATTTTCTAGCCTGTACTTGGGAGGAAGGAAATGCAAAGGGAGGGGAGAATTTGCATTTCCATCCTCCCAAGTTACTTTGCTGTTTACCCTGGAAAAGTGTGTGTTTGGGTCAAGGCTCCTTTTACCCTTTTCCCTCACTCTAGCACACCCATATAAGAGGGCAGGGTCTAGCCCTAAGTCCCTTTTGAGGTTCTGTAAACTAGTCCAAATCACATAACTGAGAAGAGTTTTAATGTTTAAATTGTTTGCAAAACTTTTGCCTGGTTTTTAAAAAATGTTTCTAAGTCCTTGGTTATTTATTTCACACAGGACTGTAATTGTTATACTGCAACAAGTACATGAAGGAAGCTTTCCTTCAATGGCTATTAGAAAACTCTGTACAGTCAATGGTTCTTAAATGGAAAAAACTGAAACTGTTAACTACATGTAGCATGCACTTAGTTTTAGAGATGAGATGATTGCATACCGCCATGGCTATGGTGCCCATTGGTCCTTTGGTGCCCTGGAACAAATTTAACAGCGAGTTAGAAAATCACTCTCATGTTAAGAGCAGGAACATATTTAATATATATTTAATGATGACAAAGGCCATAGAAAAAAATCAGGCATTTCTGTGTTAGTGCACACGTGTTGTTTTCTTGACAACTATTTATGACTTTCCAATGTGATTGTCCAGACTATTTCCCGAAATGGATGTCTGTAGACTGTTGCATAGTTGAGATGAAGACTGACACTTTGACGTACTTTCTCCAAAGAGTTTTTCCTGCATGTTACCTAAATTCAGCATTTGCTGCTGCTGTGAAGTGGCATCACTCAGGATTATATTAATTTCCAAAGTTCTTGCTAGAAGAGGGTGTCACGGTTTAGATATAACTGCACATTTGACCTCTCTCGGTATCCGAGTGCAACCCCGCCAGGTGACAGACCTCTTGCCTTCGCCTCTCTGGGGTGGAATCCCATGATTCTCCCCTTCTCAGACCGGGTGCCGGGGTACAGCACCTTGTGTACCAATCCTGATTGTTCAGCAGGCCCAACTGTATTTTGCTGCCCTGCAAGACTCCCCTTGGGGAGCTCTGACTAGTGTGTGAAACAGGGACCCAAACAGCCTTTTCAAAACGAAGTATTGTTTAATCTTATCTGTAGGAACGCAGCATAATAAGAAAAAGGATTTAACAGAACAGTCTGCATGCTTCTGTCTTACCTAAAGTGTAGGCAGGCCTACATATCCAAACATTCCTATCTCTGGGGCTGGGTGGACAGTCTGTACCCCTGCAGTCTCTGCCTCTCTTTCTCCTCATTTTCAGGGGCTCATGTTTTTCTCCACTCTGAAGTTCTTTGTTTCAACATCTTAATGGAATTCCCCCTCCTCTGTGTCAAGCCAAGAGTGTTGAACCCAGCATGTCAGAAGTAATCTTTAAAGGGATCAACACCTGTATTGTCTCTAAGTATCAGTGAATGTGTAGCTATCAGCAATGTTTGTCCACTTTCCTGTCTACATGCAAACTAACCCATGCCTCAATTTACCCATAAGTAATTATATAGCAAACACCATAGGACAGTGTTTCTCAAACTGGGGTCGCTGCTTGTGTAGGGAAAGCCCCTGGCGGGCCGGGCCAGTTTGTTTACCTGCTATGTCGGCAGGTCCGGCCGATCGCAGCTCCCACTGGCCATGGTTCGCTGCTCCAGGCCAATGGGGGCTGCTGGAAGCGGCGCAGGCCAAGGGACATACTGGCTGCCGCTTCCAGCAGCTCCCATTGGCCTACAGCGGCGAACCGCGGCCAGTGGGAACTGAGATCGGCCGGACCTGCAGACGCAGCAGGTAAACAAACCGGCCCGGCCCACCAGGGGCTTTCCCTACACAAGCGGTGACCCCAGTTTGAGAAACACTGCATAGGAACTATAAAACTAGCAGATGGAACATATAATATTCAGAAAATATTACAGGCAGCTCCCTTCCTTCATAGAGGGACCCCCCTGTCCTGGGTCCCCACAAGGATCCTGCTCCAGTGTGAGGCAGCAGACTCCCTTAAGGACAAAGCAGGGAGGACTGATTGAAATAAAAGTGATTTAAGTCACCAATTTTAATCATTATCTGAAATCATCAAGGAGGAAACCTTAACTTAAATAACTGATTTAAAGCAAACTGGATTTGCAACTGTATTTAAAGAAAGGTTCATTTAGTTGGTTGGTAACCATTACAACATGTTGCTTTGCAACTCAGGATAGCCTTTACACTACATTTGGTACTTCCCTTTGCTCACCAGGAGGATACACAATCGCTACACACATTTTTAAGCAATTATACTAATTAACATACATTTATTCAGATCTTTAATTTTTGCATTTCTCATTATTTTTTAAAATGGTGAATGATAGAATTCTTATTTCCTAAAGTAAGTTAATTCTTTCTTTAGGGAGGCACTGTGGGGTAGTGATGAGAGCACTAGACTAGGACTCAAGAAACCTGTGTTCTATTCCTAGCTCAGCAACTCGTCCTGCTGGGTGACCTCCAGGTCTCAGTCCCCTCGGTGACGTTGCACTTCATATGTTTTATGGAAATATGCTTATGAGTGTGAATAGGATGTAACTGGAATATGCTTTATGCAAAAGGCCTCTTGTAAGGTATCATTACAAAGCTTATAATCTACTGAGTGTGTTCATCCTATTTGTATGAATGTATCATTCTTGTATCTAAAACAAAAAATATGAAATATTACTCTGAGGTCCTATTGTAATTATGCAACGTGTGGGCCATTAATGGTGGCTTAGGATCTTGATGGCTCCCATTAAATAGAACAATTGGTTGTAAATGGCTCTGTTTACTTGTAAGCCTTCCTGTGTCCCTGTAAGCCGGGCTGGAAAGAATGGAGGCTTGAGGTCTCACAGGACATGTGACCATGTCACCTGGTACTGGAATCCATCTTAAACCTGGTGCTTTTCCATTTAGAAGGAGGGGTGGGGACCCAGAGAGACAAAAGATTCCTGCCGTGTGCCAAAGCTATAAAAGGGGGAGGAACAGAACAAATGGGGCTGCCAGTCATGAGAAATCCCCTAGGTACTACTTGAGCTGGAACTAATAAGAACTGTACCAGGGGAAAGGATTGGGCCTAGACTAAGAAGGAGTCTAGTCTGTGAAAGATGCTTATTGGAACATCTCTGAGGGTGAGATTTACCTGTATTCAGTTTCTTTAATGTATTAGGCTTAGACTTGCATGTTTTCTTTTATTTTGCTTGGTAACTTACTTTGTTCTGTCTGTTATTACTTTAAACCACTTAAATCCTACTTTTTATACTTATCAAAATATTTTACATGTAAACTAATAGAGTTATTACACAAAGGTGGTATTAATTTAGTCAGTAAATTCACAGATTGATTTGGGTTATCACAGACCAGATTTTCAAAGGTATTTAGGTGCTTAAAGATGCAGATAGTCACTTTTGAAAATCCCACTAGACACCTAAGCAGATTATAATATTCATAAAATATTACAGACGGTAAAGAGCTAATTAAGTACCTAACTCCCATTGCAATAAATGATATTCCCCCCAATTGTGTAGATAATTAAAAAAGCAGCACTCTTTAATATTTGAGGTGGCCTCATTGATGCCGCATTGTATGTATTTATTTAAACAATTTCAATAGACTATAGTAAATTTTGGCCTTAACACAAGTTGTCATAATTTCAAATTTAATTTTAAACAGGTTTGTTTTTAAAAAGAAAAATGTATTTAAATTAAATAAAAATCCAATTTTGAAAATTTTTAAATCAATTTTTATCTTCCCTGGGAGAGAAAAGAATGGGGAAGGTACAATTCTCTCCTCAGTTAAACCCATGCCATTCCAGGTTTTCTTGGGCATAGCTGAGGGTAGGATACATCTGTCTATGCATGCCTGATTAGTGAACTACATTTTATTGTAAGCAGCATTGTCAAATGCATGATTAATCCCAAATCCCAAGGTTAATATTCAGTTTTTAAATGTGGTACCTGTGGTCCTGGTGGCCCTCGGTCCCCTGGATTTCCCTTTGAACCTGGAAAGCCAGCACTGCCCTAAAAATAGAAACTCAAGAATAGTTACTAAGTCAAATTTTCAGTTTTTTGATTCAGTGTTTATAAGGACAGACATGGGAGCAGATCCATCACTGACGAAAATCTCCATAGCTTCATTGAAATCCAGTTGAGGAGCTGGCTACTGCAATTTAAATAAAGAGAGAGTAATATACAATATAGAACAGCCCTCATAAGTAATGGAAATCAGTGAAGAACATTAATGACTGAGATCATCATACCTCTGAGACCTTGAAGCAATAAAGTAATGAGACTGATTTTCAATCCTTTTCTGACTAGGGACTAAACTCTAGAAACTTTATTCAAGGCCCCCTTCACATGTACTTATCAGAAAGAGTAAGGGTGTTTATTATTCTTACCCTTTGTCCTCTAATTCCTTTGGACCCTCTATCTCCTTGACTACCTGGATCACCATCTTCTCCCTACAAGTTAATCAAAACCAGAATCTCTGTAGTGAAGGGCACGCACACAAAAAATATAGACACACACAGTGCAAAGCAATATATACCAAAAGCAGAAAATATCCATTTTATTGTACCTGTAGACCAGGGTTTGCTGGTAATCCAGATTCTCCCTGGTATTGGGGAAAAAGAGAAACAGACCTTAAAATTTTATTAACCTTTTCACTGCTCCTTATTCGAAGAAGATATTTTGTTTTTAATCAGAAAAAATGTAAGGATTTCTTAGTTACAGTCAATTTAAGTTACAGCAGCCATTTCTCAGCCTCAAATGGCACCATTCCATTCTGCCCATTTAAAGCTACAGCAATTTAAATATTTCCAACAGTTTTTATTTCTCTTCTAATTACTATTTTATTAAATTTGTTTCCTTTTTAGTGAAATAAAGTGCAATTCTATTTTAGTGATCATGTGACCATAGTATATGGTTCAAAGCTCACTTTCCAGGAGTTGTTTCCTAATGCTACCAATGTGTTGGCCCCTCCCTTATATCAATCAATGGGGGATTCAGGTTCAAGTGTTAGATCGGAAGTAGGGTTGTGTTGTTGTCGTGTTTATGTTTTTTCAAAGGAAGGAAATTATTTCACAATCTTTTGTGTGCTATTTGGCTGCAGGTAAGAAATGTTAATAGCTTCTGTGAGTACCAGTCAGAGCTAAAGTACATCCTTTCCCGACAAAGAAACTAGCAGAATTCGCTCTGTGTCTTTGTAAGATTGTCCCATGCATGTGTCTGATTTAGGAAGCTCACTCTTCTGAATCTGAACATAGTGATTGTTCTCACACAACCATCAAAATGAGATTGTGTGAGAACAAGAGATCTTTCAAACATGATTCTACCATAATGATTTATTCCCATTTGCATGGTAGGCTTGTTTTCCTAGGACATTGCATTTAATGAAGTGTAAGTTAGCTAGTGAACCTATACAATTTATAGTAACCTTTGTAGATGACTATATTTAAGGTTGTTCCCTTTGTTGTTAGGAGGATCCCAACCTTTTTTTGGATTAGATTCTGCCTCAGCTTTGGCCAGGCACATTGTGAGGGAGAAGGGAAATAAGGAACCTTGTATGGCTCACATAAGGCTTAGAACTGGCCAAGCTCACCTAGCAATTAGGCAGATTGCTATCCATTTACTCTCCCAAAGGGTGGGAAAGGGTAGGGAGTGGATGGAGCCCTGGCTCCCCCTTCTGCTGTGGAACTCATGGCCACAGGAAGTTGTTGAGGGCAAGAACTGTTCAAAAAGGGACTGGATATTTACACTGATAACAAGAATATCCGGAGTTAACATATTTAATAACATTTTTGCAAGGGATATTAAACCTCATGCTTCAGAACTAATCTCTAGTGCTTAGAGAAACAGATATGATGTATGGGCAGATTACCTCACTTCTGCCTACGCAGGGCTTAAACCAGTGGTTCTCAAACTTTTTTGCTGGTGACCCATTTCACATAGCAAGCCTCTGAGTGCGACCCCCCGCCCTTACAAATTACGTTTTTATATATTTAACACCATTATAAATGCTGGAGGCAAAGCGGGGTTTGGGGTGGATGCTGTCAGGTTGCGACCCCCCATTTAATAGCCTCGTGACCCCCTGAGGGGTCCCGACCCCCAGTTTGAGAGCCCCTGGCTTAAACTTTCCTATGGAGCATTTGGTGCTGGTCACACTCAGGGATAGGACACTGGACTAGATGGACCTTGGGTCTGATCCAGTCTGGCAATTCCTCTATTCCTTGTTTCATGTACAGCATGCTGGGTCATAACATGAAAGGATTCCATGCTTGTAAAAACTACACTGGATCTTTATTAAGAGAACTGTTTTCAGTGATATTGCAACTGCAGCTAGAATTCTAGCCATGAGCACAGCAACTGACTTCCAGTGCCTCCTCCAAACTCTTCCCTCCCGCAACCTGTGCTCCTCCCTCCAAGCAGGTTGCTATTTTACTGACTAAAGCTAAATTGCAATAAGCATGTCCACATAAGGTTTTGAACCAGTTTAAATCTTTTTAAAACAGATTTAAGTTCAATAAGACAGATTCTCATATAGACAAGGCCCAAGGTAGCTATCAAGTGGTTAAGTGATTTAACCAATAGAAATGTATTCAGAACATCCAGGGAGCAATTTCTATTGAAGCTGCCATTATCACCCTTAAGAGAGCTCAGGCTAACTGCAGCAGTCTGGTAAAAACAGGTAAGTATCAATATTAACAGCTAACGTGGGTATGCTTGCAGGTTCTTTCTATATTTTTGAAAAACTTCCTTCCATTTGTCCTTCCTTTTGGCTCTTTTTTGCTTATGACTTTTAAATAGAACAGTTGTTGGGGATTAACTAGAGAAAAATTTTACACAGAAGACAGCAGATGCAGTGGAGCAAGTTCTGAGATTGACACTCATCTATTCCCCTCAGATTTATTTTTGGAAAAGATTTTTATAATATTGTCTGTTGATAGATTCTCTTATTTCTTAACTCCAGTTTTCAGTGGATGGTGTCCAGAAATCTTTTATGATCATTTGTTGTATGCAGGGTTTTCTCTTTATTCCGAGTGATAAATATTCAAAATGATTAGGATGAATATTATGGGATTTTTGAATTATTATTGTTGTAAAATTTTATGGTTGGATTATTTTTCAAATGGTTCCTTGCAATGTGTTACACATTTGTTGTTAGCAAATCAATGCTATCTCTCCGTTTACTCAGGAAAGGGAATTGAGCGAGAGCGTCACAAGCTGTTTTTGCTCAAATTTCCCCCTTCCTGTGTCCACACCCAAAACAAAACAAAAACACAACTACTAAATACAAATATCTGGGGAAAAGTTCACAGATTAGAGGGCCGGAGCCTCAACTAGTGGAGAGGAGTTATCCATTGATTCCAATGGAGCTACACAGAATTATACCAACTTTGGACTTGGCCCTTACTTTGGATCTTTTATTGTAAATGGTTTCTATATTTTTAGAAGAGATTATTTAATTATTTTTGTAAATAAATATTAACTTAGGGCTAGATGGTCCCTACTCTTCCTTGCTGAGCATAAGCGCATGGGGATGTAAGTTCCCTCTCCCTCTCTGCTCTGATACCCTTGCTCAACCAAGTAATGGCTCCTCAGATAGCTACTGCTCTCCGGCCACCACAGACAGGGAAGCAGCTTGACCAGTACTTCTCTCAATGAACAAATCGGTTGGATGGGGCAGGAAATGGGAAGACCCTTGGCTCTGCCCTCCACATACCAGCTAGAGTAGCTGGTTGGGTGCACTCGGGGGAGGGGAAATAAGCTGTATCCCCAAAGTCAGTACAATAAACTGAATCCCCCACTTTACCTCTACAACAAGGAAGGAATGGCACCTCTTTGAGCAACAGTTCCCTCCCAGGACTCCTCCTGCAGGGACACAGATACATGCCACCACTTACTTGGGGCTGAGAGACAGCTCTCCTAACCCTTACTGACTGCTGGAGTCTGTGAATGGTGTCTGCACCAAGGCAATGTCCCAGGAACCACTGAGCCAGAACTGGAGGTAACTACCACTACTGCAGCTCCAAATTCAGAAAGCCTGATATACAGGTACACACAACCGGGGATGGGATTAGCTTCTCACATTCTGGGGCGGGACTCAGACAGTGTCTGAAATTTCCTTGGTCACGACAAACAAATCTGACTGGTATCTTATTAGGCGTGACATTCCATGACTGAGACCCTCTGCTTGATCTCACCTTTGCTCCTTTGCGTCCTGCAGGACCATAGCCATCATTGCCATCTGGGCCCTGCATGGGTTGGAAAAGATACTGTCGGTTAGTTTCAAATGTAGAATTAGCTGTACATTCAATACTCCACTGGCCTAAAGGAGCGCTCATGATTTTGGCCCCTTAGCAGCTCTGGCTGATTATGTAGCGGAGGGTGTCACAGACACAGTCTAGCAGCTATGGCAAAAGCCATTAAGAGAGGATACAGCCTAAAGCCAATATCCTCTTCTCCAATCTACAGGGCACCTCACTTATATTTTCTCTCTTCCTCCAGGGGTCCGAGGGCAAAATTCTTCTCTCCAATCCATGACAAGAGAAATTTCCCCTGGAGCTCTTGAAAGGAGAAGAGGATAGGTCCTGTACGGAGACGGCATCTTGACTAGTATATTCATAACCTGGACTCCATAACAAATAAATATGATTGTAAGATAGTGGCTTGAAGGTGAGAATAAGTTGTTCTGCTCTTCTGTCTGATGGGTGGCTGAAAAAGCGCAAGTGTCTTCCTTGCAACAAACTAAAGATACATAGACACTAAGACCAGAACACACCACTGATGATCATCTAGTCCGACCTCCAGCATAACACAGCCAAGAGGGCGGTGATGTTAGTGTGAAGACTGAAAACTGAGCAAAAAGATTTTAAAATATCCCAAATGGACAAAAATAGAATGAAAAAGAAAATGAGATGAACTGCAAGGCCTCACAACTCCCAGCAGTTAACACAGAGAACCCGAATCGGAAGAGCAAAACTTACAGGCGTGCCTCTTGGGCCAGTGGGTCCCAGCAGACCCGTCTCACCAGGATCTCCAGGTTCACCCTATTATAATTTAAATACAAAAGATATTACACTTTTTATATTTGGCTTACCAGGGAGCATTTTGTTTTTAGTACAAGGGGTTTGGTCACTGAGGTAAGAGTTGCGCTTGCATTTTCTGCAGATTAAAAGATGCAAGTCATAAAAGTTCAATTGCAGACCAGACTCAAAGCTTTTACAGGGGCTTCACCTCATATGTTACCAAACTGAGACTGAGTGTGGCACAGCACTTCTTAGATGGTGACTTATTCCAGTAGGAAGCAGCATTATCTGGTGGCTACAGGCTGGAGACAGGGAGTTAAAATTCCTAGGTTTTATTCCCAGCTTTGGTCTTCTCACTTCCACTATCTTTACCTTAGTCTACCGCTGTACACATTGAGTTTAACAGTACCTACTTCAGAGAAGTTGGGAGGCTGAGTTAAGTAATATTGGTAAAGCACTTTGAAATCCTTGGATGAAATACCATGTATAAATGATACTGTTGCTTTTCTTTAATAGATTTAGACTACATATCAAAGATACTACCACAGGTAATTCAATGAAAGAAAAGGAGGGGCTAAAAAGTCTTACAAAGAAACAAATCATAAATCAAAACCTCCTAACGTGATATCAGATCAAAAATGTGGATTTCAACCCATTTGGTCTAATATCCGCTTGACCTAATCATCCCCACAGTACGCATGCTTGGTGGATTCCGATGTGATGGCCACTGTCTTGCTTGATTGGGCACAGAGGGAGAACTGTAACACACTCATCTATGGGTTACACCTGCACCCCAGCACGCAGGAGCTTTTTGTGAGTGACCCAGGCCAGGATGGGAACCAAGGTATCTAGTGATTAGAACAAGAAATGGGAAGTCAGGTTCCACATGTATCATCCTACTGTAGCTCTGCCACTGATTGGGGAACCTCGAATAAGTCACTTAGGCCCTGATCCTCAAAGACATTTAGGTACCTAACTCCCATTGAAATCAGAGAGTTAAGTACCTAAATACACTGGGCCTAAGCTTCACTGCCCGTATTTATCCATATGTAAACTATAATAATACTTACCTTTATCAGAGGGGTTTTGTGTTTGTAAGTTCAATGAGATCACTGAATGAAAGGTGCTGCAGAAGTGCAATGTACTTCTTAAAATGCTTACCTTTGGTCCTCTAGGCCCTGGATTCCCAGGAGAGCCTGCTGCACCTGGTGCTCCTGGATTAACCTACAATCAGAACACAAATTAAAGGGTGCATTAGAGAAAAGCTAATGTTCACCAGAGCTTGGAATGGCTCTAGAAGTATTCATTACATTTGGCCCATCTAGTGGCATTTCTCAGAGCTTCCAGGAACCACAGTAATAGTGATGTGCAAAAGACAACCATGCAAATTCTTTTCTCTTTTCCATGTAAACACTTTGAGATTTCCAATATTCCTAAGATATTATTTGTTAAAGCATCATAGAGGCTATACATACACAAAGTAACTGGATCTGAAAGCACGAGTCTCATCACACAATTGAAGTTTATGCCTAAATCTGGATATATTGGTCCAGATCCTGACTGAGTTACACTGGTGTAACTCCACAGTAACACTGTTGAAGTCAATGGTGTTACACCAGTGTAAGCGAGAACAGAATTCAGCCCACAGCATCTATGTTGTCCCCGATTCTTTCATCAGATTCCAGGCTTGACTCTCATGGGCAAGTCTCTATAGCCACTCCCAAACGAAAATTCTTACTAACTAAGGGTCAGATTCTGCCTTTAGTTACACTGGTGTATGCCCAGAGCAAGCAATGGAGTTACTCCAGTATACACCAGTATAACAGAGAGCAGAATCTGGATGTAAGTGTTTTCACTGTAATCATGAAAGAGCTCAGTAACACAAAGTTTCACTTCTTTCCTGATTTACAAACCAACATTTGCTTTTCAAGTCCATTATTTTGGCACCATATTATCAAGGTCTAAAATGACTAGTGTAACTCTCTCATTTGGATGTTCATTACTAGGCGTTATAGCGAAAAAATCCTCCACTTACATAGACCTTATTTACAAAGGTCCAAATATAATTTTGAAAAACCCACACTGTCGAGAAGTTGACAAGCAAAAGGTGCAAAATAAGGATATATTCTTTAAAACTAACCTGAGGGCCTGGTATTCCTTGTGGTCCTGGAGGGCCTCTGACCCCTTGTGGTCCTCTTAGACCCTGGTGGATAAAGGACATTTTAAAAAAAATTATAATGTTGCTAATGTGCCAGAGCAGAATTTCACCCAGGATATTTGAAATTGGTGTGAACAAAATATTCCAAAAGGAAAATAGAAAATTGAACCTAACGGCATGCTTTCTCCATACATGTCATGTAAAATAACTCAGCCTTTCTTTCTGCTACCTGTGAGCCTTGTAGGCCAGGATCTCCTGGATAACCGGGTTCACCACGATCTCCTTGCCCACCCTGCAAGAAAGTGAGAGAAAAAAACCACTTTACTTCATGACACGTTTACATCTACAAATAAACTGATCAAGCAATATTGCTGCCATTTCCAGAAGGCTACAGTGATTTGCAAGCAGCAACCACCACTGAAGAAACATCAGCTGTTTGGGGGTCTGAGATGGATGGAGGAGAGGGAGTGGGAAAGGCTAGTTGTATTTGCTTCACATGGTGATGAATTCATTTCAACAGGTCAATGTCAGCACTAATCTAGTGGAGCCCACTCAGTCAGTGCAAGAATTATCACTAGCCACAGTATAGAGGTGACAAGGGTGGTGGGAGTGGAGAGTTTCTTGAGCCTTCTTCCCTCTCCACATGCACACCTATATCAGACTGCTCATAATCTAGCCCAGCACTGAGAGTTTTCCCAGAGGTGGACACCGGTATATGCCTCCCATTTTAATTCCGGCTGCTCAGAAAACTGCACCCCAAATCTCTGTGGAAAAATTAAGTTGTTAGTTTTTAAGATCAGCAGCGGAGTATCACTCACACAAAGCTGTCATCTGCACGAGTCAGTCCAACTGACATCCGTGAGAAAGATCTCTTCATATTGTCTCTGTTGGACTGAGTCAAATGTATGAATTAGCTCTAGGCAGTTCTGGGGAACACTGGAGGTGTTCTTTCATTGGGGAAATTATAAACATATGTCCAAGGATTCTTTGGAACTCAGGCAATTCCAAAAAACAAAGTCATGGGGAAAATTGGATTTAAAATACTATATTCCGCAGTTCTGAAGAATTCTGCCCTCTTTGTACTATGATTGAACTGGGACGGAAATCAAATGAAAAGAAAAAGAGGAAACATACATGGATTTGAACAAACCTAGTGGTAGCCAAAGTTAAGATACTGCAACATTGGACATCTGTTACAATGCCGGCTGTAGAAAAATGTATGTCTCTCTATATTTTGCAGTATACGTGATTTTCTCATACAAGGCTGCCTTGTATGAGAAAAGGCACGTTGGAGTTGGACTCAAAGCCCACTGAAATCAATGGGAGTCTCTCTCTGACTTCAATGGGCTTTGGATCAGGCCCAGAGAGAACTCTCTCTTTTTCTTATGTGTTTCCCTTTTTTCTTTATTTCTCTTTTCTTCCTTACCACTTTCTCTTTTCCTTTGCAACCTTACCTAAAACTGGTAGTGTTGTTCATGTGTACAATACACACTTCTTCTCCTAGGCTCTAGCAGACTTAATGTCTTTCTGCCCAGTGGTTACCCCGTCTCAGAATGGCTGCCTTTTGTACTTCTTGTAATCAAAAAGTCATCGTCACAGAGTATTTAAAGTCTGCCTTTTTTGTTTTCATGGAACGCAGAAGCTAATTGGAGGTGAAACTCCAAAACGTTTTCCTTTTCAGAAAATAGAAAAAAAAAGTGCCATGTAGCTGCTGGATGGCAAAGTACTTTATTTTTTGGTACCACTTTAACTCTAGTGCTGTCAGTTTAGCACCTTCTATAAGCCATTAAAAATAGTAAAACTGCATGGACATTAGTGAGTCGAGTTTTGGCCCTCTCTGTGCAATTAAAAGACATCAGAAGTTCTTTGTCAGCCCTGATCACAAAACACTAATATCTGTCTTCATTTGAAAGGCATTGGTTTTTTGTTTTAAACACAAAATCCTCCAGGCTGCTTGATCTAGTAGGAGCCAAATCCTGTGGTCTAAAGAAGGGCTGCTGAAGACACTAGATGCAGAGGAGGCCAGGCGGTTCTGCTTGCTGTGTAGGGGGGACAGCATGTGGGTCCCCCAGCACTAGTGTGCGGTGGAGCTGTGTTCTCTGCATCCCAGCACACAGATGCTGTCTGGGGTGAGACGAGGCCAGTGGATCTATGACTACATAGAACCAGCAGCCAAACCTGCTGCGTAGGAGTGCAGCAGTCAGAGGGCTGCTGCTACCCTACAGTTGCAATGGCGAGCAAGGAGCATCTCCACTGTTGCTGGAAGCTGAGTCCGGGCAGAGGCTTTAGCCCTGAATGCCCATTAATTCACGCAGATGGCTATTCTATTTTGAAAAGCTGGGATGTAAGTAATTAAGAGGAATTTATGCCATTGTAATTCGTGTGGAAAGTTCTCAGTTGTGGGCCCAGCTTTGCCCCCTGACTTTCTGAAAGGATGGCCGTGCATTAGGGACCACTGCCCTAAAAGGACTTGTCCGTTTCTGCACCCAATGATTTTATGAAGGAAGGTCAACATTTTCTCTGACAACCACCTCAGAACTCCATTGCTTACTAGCACCACATACCACATAGTACAGCCAGACAAATGACAACTCCCGTGACCCCCCCGCCCCAACATTCTCCAGATCTGTGATGTGTAATGGTCTTAAAACTGACCTGTTAATCTCACAGATCATCAATTACTACTTTTTGGCTGAAGCCCTAGAGCAGTGGTTCCCAAACTTTAACAATCTGTGAACCCCTTTCACTAAAATGTCAAGTCTCATGATCCCCCTCCTAAAAATGAATATTTCCAGGGATTTTCTCCTTTACCTGAGTATAAATTATAAAAGCAGTGATCTTGGAAATATAAAATTAGTTTTTATGACATGCTTATTACACACTATTTATTATTTCTCATCACAGTATTTTTATTACATTATGAAAACGGCAACACTCTTCCAAGATCTCACTTTCATAGCTTGTATCACTTTGAATAAACCTGTTATAAAACAAGGCTCGTATGTTTCATCAAGGAGTATCAGATATGAAACAGCATGAAGGTATTTAAGAAGCCAACTCAAAGAGTTCCTCCTACACAAGCATTCAGGTCTTGAGCAGTCCAGGCAAACAATGCACGTTACAACAAAGCTTAAACTTGATCTTCATAATAATTTTAAAA